TTCTCTGAGCAAATCAACACGAGGCCAACCGATATTTTCGGCAAACGCCAAAAGCCCTTCAACTTGCTGTTCGATATGAGTGGGTGTAAGTCTGAATATCCCGTGAACGTCGGAATGAGGTGAAGGTGGGACAGGATGCCTGCGTGTTATGCTATCAAAGAATGAAAAGCGACGAGCCTTTTGAGCCGACTTCTCCTGGGTTGACGGCTGCGACGGGGAGTTCGACACTGCGACGGATTGGCAGCCGCCCCAGGAGATCTTGAAACTGTCGAAGAAGCGACGCACCACCACCAAGTCCCAGTCAACTTTAGGATTGCGTAGCTTATCGAAATGGTTCACATCTTGAACCGAGACTGTGACATCCCTCGAGCTCTCAACCAGCCCAACTTTGACAATGGCGTCCAGGCGAAGAAGTAGCTCCGCGGCGAGGAGCATCTGGATCAGAAACCATTTCTGTTCCAAGCCCGGGTGAGACCAGGGTTTGTGAATGGTACTTGGATCGAAGAAGTCAGCGTCCACATGGGGAGGAGCTTCCCAGAGAAGCTGTCCGATGCGGAAACGCCACTCGACGAGACTGAAGTCGAACCATGCTCCTGGTGTCGCTAAAACCATGGTCAACGCCTTGATCTCAGCCTTGAGGCCATGCGTGCTGTCGAGATCCATGAGCATGCATCGGGTTGGGTGATGAAGAAACTTGGTAAATAAATCGCTGTGGCGTGCATGCGCGCTCTCTACATCGAGAATCGTTTTCTGCGTGTTCTCATACAATAGCTCGTGACGCAGGTTTCTCAAGGTCTCAAGGCGGTCGACCAAGACCTTAAAATTGATATCTCGCAGACCAATCTTTTTCCAGGCGGTCGGGCCGTCTCCAAGAAGCATTTTTCGATCATGTATAGTACCGTCGACGCACTGCGAGTAGGGCTCATGGTAATGTTCCAGAAGTTCGTCAGCCTCAACTGCTGGTAGGTTATGAAGGTGCAGTAGATTAACATGCAGATGGGGCTTTCCGGTGGGAACGAATCGAACGGAATCAGCCACTGGAAGCTCTAGATAATGGCGAAAGCCCACAGTTCCCGGCTCGATCCCGCTCATAGCAAGCATGTTGGGGACTTCGAATACACCAATATCGAAGGTAGCTCTCTTTGATGCACTGGTTCTTTTCCAACTGTCTAAGTTGAGAGGAGCGTCACCTTCAAGGAATCCTTCGGGGACGGGGAGATGGGCATGAAGGGTGCACACGGTATATGAAGGATGAGGAAGACATTTTCTGTCCCATAGATGCTGAATCGTAGGGTCGTGGTCATCCCATGGGAAGATTACTTGCGGATACCAGAGTCCATGCTTGCCCTTTTCTAGAAGGAAGTACGGTGCCCCGGAAAATATGGCATGAATATCATCTCTGCTGAGATGAGTCTCGGCCGAAGGCTTTTCGTGAACATGTGCCTTGTGAGATCTAACAAGAGCGTCAGTGGGAGAATTTGACGCATCCTGCCGTTCGCCGTGCTCGTCCGAATCATGTGTATGTTTCGTTCTAGAAGAACCCGAGGAGTGATCTTCTCGGCCTGGGTTCTTTACCAGCTGCGCATTCGGGGTCGTGGTAGATTTACCCTTGATAGAGTATTTAGTATACAGCGTTGGCCAGAAGCGCTACGAGTCAAGTAAACCTCACATTTTCGTGTTTCTCGATTGACGCGCGAGGTACATCCGTTGCCGGCAAATCTTCTGTTGCTGACGCAGCGCCATGTTTCTGAAAAAGGTTACGCAACGTGTGTCTGCCAGAAGCGCTGTAATCGCGACTATTTTGCTGCGAGAAGGAAGCTCTCCTAGGCGAGCTCTCGGATGCATTGCTCGCGCCGGTATCAGAAGGCGCCGCATTCGAAACTGAACGACGCCTGCCAGATAATACATGCATCTTGGTCTAGGTCAATTTTCAGTATTGATGGGTACCAGGGGCACTTGCGAGTCGATGGATATTGACAGCTTGATGAGAAGAGGGGCATGAGGTTTCAGATTACTTACGCTAACGTTGGAGAGTGGCGGTTATGTCGTTCAACCCATCATAACCTCAGCACAATCATGTAGAGACAAAAGGATCCTTATATAGTCACAATAATCTATGGAATATTGATAAGGAGTTTAAAGCCTGATGTCATGAAAAAATTTCGACCAGACATGAACATGTTGAATCAAATCGTACGATCAGATGTAGGTATAGCCACCTGATCGGCTAAAGGACACTTCGATGTTTTAAACAAGACTAGAAAAAGTGGCGACCCTCCATCACTGTTTGAATAGAAGAAGGTCGCACAAAAAGAGCCAAGAAGAGACAAAGCAAATATTAATCGATGCTTTGATGGCTTAACTGTTGCAAGGAGTTTGAGGATGAGAAGGGGAGAGCGAGCCGCGGATAAACGATGACGTTGATTTTCGGGACCGAGGTGGAGTATTCGGGGCCCCTTTCCGGATCTGGAAGTCTGGCTCTATCACAGCTCTGGTTTGCTGGCCACGCGATGGAGTTATTGTGATTTAGATACTATGGAAAGCATGGTAGAAAACTGCCGTGTTATTATTCATCATTTTGTCTCGTCATTCATATATATTAGGGATAATAGCATTACGTCCTCCATCATAGCTCTGATCTTTTAAGCATGCTTCTGAAGGAAGCTCAAAGCAGTCTTGTAACCTCTCTCATACTCCTTGCGGACTTCTTCATCTTCAAGGTTCGACCGAGCCGCCATCCAGCCGTGGATCTGGGTAGGGAAGGTCTCCACATAATGGTCAACCTTAAGGTTGGCACCGAAAGCCTCGACGTCCTTGGGCTTCTCGTCCTTGGAAGCCAACATGGCCATGGGAATAGTGACATTCTTAGCATCATTGGGATCAACCATGGCGGGATGGCACTGCACCGCGGCCTTGAACTTAGTATCCTTGGCAGAGGACAAGCATGCGATCTTTCCACCCCAGCAGTATCCGAGGATAGACCAGGACTCAAAGGCCTTGCCGTTGGGAGCGAGCTTGTTCGCTTCGTCGACGAAAGGTGGAATCTTGGGCAGGTTTGCTGGAGGTGCAGCCTTGGTTTGGAAGAAATTGCCCAGCTTCTCCTTGTGTTCTTCGGTCTTAGGAGGGAACCAGGTGATGTCGGCCGGTTGGCCCTCAAAGAAGTCGGGCATGAAGACACGGTATTTCTGCTCGCTCGAGGTAGCGAGGATATCGGCGCCTTGAATTGTCTGAGGGAAAAAGCCGAAAATGTCTGTTTTCCAAGCCACTCTTAGCTGTTTGTCTGTGGGCAGAGACGGATGAACCATTGGACGATTACCCACCGTAGACGATGAAGATGGCCTTGGAGGCAGAGTCGGGGCCAGTAACGTCTGAACATATGTCAGTGACTCTTTTGCTTCCAGTTCTAAGTTTACAATTGACCTACATGTCTTCATTCCATTGATTGTTTTGTATTCACCTTTGCCCTTGTAGCCTTGGGCAACGATGGGAGGGATACTGAACATGGTCAGCTTGAGGCCACTCTGGTATAACAACGCCAATTGAAAAATCACGTACGAGCAGCAGGCCTTGCTAATGCCGGACATGTTGGCTGATGAACAGTGGAGCGGTCTGAATGCGTTAAGGGAGCGAGGTTTCACGGATGAGAGGAACGACCTTCGGAGAGGGGTAGTTAGAAGCTGTCCGCAAGGCATGAAGGAATGGAGAAGAGCGCAAACGCACAATGGTATAGCTCGGAACGGGTTCGCGATCGATAAAAGCAGTCGAGCACCGTGTTCAAAGACCGGAGAGAGAGGTAGAAGGTTGGTTAGGAGAGGAAATGATGATCTGGTAGCTTTGCTTTCCCCATCGACCCCGCTGGATCGACGTCATCGGAACGACACCCGGCAATTCCGCTCTCTGTTTACCCGCCTGCTCTTATTGCTGTCTTTCCGACCGCGGCTACACATTGATTGGATTGATTCGTTCAAAACAATGAACAACAGAAAGTTCAAAAAAATACATGCGGTCATGGAGATGTCAATGAATGGCTTCTCTCGTAGATATGCCGTCCAGGCTTCTGGTTCTGTTTGAGCTCGAAGGTGTCTTTTCCACCATCCACCCAAGGTAGTTGATTTGGATGAACACGGTCGTCGAAACACTCAACATCTAGGTCAACAGGACTAATGAGGCGGTCGGATATGAGAGCTCTAAGCTTCGAGGTTGAAGAGGTCCATGCTGGCGATAATGAATCTTTCCTCGCTCTAGTATTGCCGATAATATGTATCCGCGTCACATTCGAAAGCCAGTTGCCTTTCAAAGATTGCGCTTCTCATTCTCCGAGGACTTGGCTAGACGCTAATCTTTGGCCAAGAAATTGAATCTCTTGATGCTCTCGGTGAAGAATTCAAGATATGAATCAGCTCCTCTATCCATATTCGATTTCACTGGCAGCGTGCGTATGATCGTATTAGTATCTGAATTCCTCTCCATTTTGATTATCTCGATTGATGAGGAATCATGAAGGGGCAATTGGGAGAAAGAAGATACACCATCGTCGGCCCAGATTCCTGCGCGAGCGCTGGGCGAGATATCTTCAGTCAACCAGTTAAGCATCGATAATGAGAAGTCAAACTTGACAGATGATAAGGCTTAGCGAGTGGCGAGAAAGCGAAACGAGCAGTATGTGCTTGGATCGCATTGCGCAGGCTAGACAAGCACGTCTTATCCCCACCTTCTAACACGATGCTTGGCTCTCCAATTTGTACACAATATGTTCGTCCACCAAGGCAACGTTCTGTGCGTCAAAGCTCTGGAGATAGGAAACTTCCACGACCTGTCGAGCATCATGTATAGGTCGTCACGCCATTACTATCGGGAGTGGCATCTTTGCAATGGAGTCGATATATTATCCCTTCACAGGTTTTCCATCAGACCTATCGTGGCCCCGGTAGAACTATCCTTCTCGATCATCAGGCTAGCAATAATCGCCGGGGAATTCCATTCGCAGAATAATTGCTGCGATGGCTTCAGAGCAACGCAGAAAGTGGTATCACATCAAGTGGTTTGCAGACGATGACACGAAAGAGGAACGGCAGCTTATCCTCAAGCTGGATCTTCTGATTGTTCCATATGCCTTTCTTGCGTACTGGACCAAATATATAGACCAATCCAACATAAGTAGGTCATCAGTGAGCCCTACTCGAACTAGACTAATCCTATTCTCAGACAATGCATATGTTTCGGGTCTTTCTGATGACCTAAAACTGCATGGTAATGACCTCGTTCATCTGCAGACAATGTACACCGTTGGCGCGGTTCTGGGTCAAATCCCCTTCGCATATCTCTTCACCAAATTTCCAATGTCCTGGATTATTCCAGCTTTGGATATTTCATGGGGTGTGTTTACGCTACTGCAGTATCGAGTGACATCGTACGGGGAGTTGATGGCTTACCGATTTCTCGTCGGGTGGTTTGAGGTTTGAAATCTATCTATGATTCTGCTAGGGTCTCAACTGAGCGAGCCAGGCTGCATTCTTCCCGGGCATGCATTACATTTTCGGTAGGTAAAATCTGCAAACCTTGAAAAACGGACCAAACTCACATTTGCCGTCCAGGATCTTGGTATCGCGGGGATGAAATCGGCCGTAGAGGCGGCTGCTTTTATGTCGGTCTCACTCTCGGAACGTTGACATCGAGCTTAATCCAAGCTGGCACGTCGGCAAGGCTTGACGGCGTCCATGGCCTGGCAGGGTGGCGATGGATGTACATTATCTGTGCAATCATCACCATTCCCATTGGCTTGCTGGGATATCTGATCTTACCCGGGACTCCTGACAAGCCGAATAGACTAGTTCTCAAACAAGCAGACATCGATCTCGCCAAAAAGCGACTTC